ACAGAAGGAAAAGTGACAGCAGAACTTCAGCTGTGGATATGAGGAGAGCAGAATTCAGGCTGCTCAGGGAAGTAGTGGGTAAGATCCCCATGGGAAATGTTTTTGAAGGTACTGGAATTCATCAGTGCTGGTCACTTTTAAGTACCACCTGCTAAGAGCAAAAGAACAAGCATTTTGAGAATATCAAAAGTGAAGTAGGTGAGGCAGAAGGCTGCCTGGGCTAAGCAAGGATCTTCTGGAGATAAGGCAAAAATGTAAAGTGTATGTCCAGTGGAAAAAAGGTCAGGTAAAATGGAAGGAGTATAGAGGTGCTCCTTACCACTGTGGGAAGAAAATGGATGCAACCAAAGCCTGACTGGAGTTGAAGCTGGCCAGTACTGTTGCACCATGCATAAAGACATGAAGCTCAATTTAAAATTAAAAATGTCTCTCTCAAAGGCCGCTCATAACTCAAGCATGTTCCAAGTATTTGGATGGCTAAAATATCTTATTTGTATTGGGGTAATGAAGGTGCAGTTTTCACTTGGGCTTTGGGAGACATAAGTAATACCACCATCAGCAAGTCATTTGCCCCAGTTGAGAAACTAAAGACCTTTAATCTTGCCACACTCTGCTTCATTTCAAAGAACCAGGTAAATTCAGCACTTCCTATTATCTCTAAACTACTTGCCCTGGTTACATGAACTCCTCCTCCACTCCTCCTTTGCTATGTCTGGCTGCACACAGGGAGCTTTTTCGGCAAGGCTTGTTGCCATCCTTCACCTGTAACGTGGGTGCAGATACAGTTGGATGGCTCTGTACCCATTAACTAAGGATGAACAAGTCTGTTATTGAGAATTATCAGCATGAGAGAAGAGTGAGCAATATAATAGAGGAGCTGTGAACGTACAAGGGGGGGAATCTAACTTTTCCAGTGAAGAGAAAATTATGACTGTCTTTAGTCCCTCACATACTCCATAGGAAGAGGATTGTGGTATGTTAATTACTCATGTATCATGGGATACAGGGATAAGTTAGGGAAGGTGACCTGAACTACAGGCATGACAAATGAATTTGCTATTACAGCTAAGACCAGACCTTGCTGTTTCAGCTGTAAAAGACTATTTTTGTAATGTAAGGATCTGTTTCTATTTACGTGAGCTCAAAATCCACACTTAATGTGACTTGCAGAAATGAGATTTACTTTTCAGCTGTAGGTATGTGGGAAATGGAGATGATAAAGACCTCATTTTGCAGAGTCTTTATGAAATAATAGAAACTATTATGTAACAGTTGGGGTTTATTGCTCTTCATGCTATTAAATATATATGATACAGTAGCATTTGGATCTTAGGCTACAGATCCTCAGTTGTGTCTCTAAAAACCAAAATTTGTAAGCAAGCTTTCGTATGAAACAGATATAGTATGTGTTCATTTGCTATTAACTTTACTGTTGGATTCTGAGATAAGTGGATGAAGATGCTACTATTTTAATGAAATACATAATGCTATTTTTTTATTTTCCTCTTTTAGTTATTTGGATGGAAATCAGTTTACCCTTGTTCCTAAAGAGCTTTCCAACTACAAGCATTTAACACTCATGTAAGTAGTTTTAGAGCAACTTTCTCTACTGGAATTAAAAACAAAACAATCCAAAATACCCTACTCAACTATACCTGATTTTATGTATAAGAAAAAGCCTATAAAATGTATCATATATTTCAGCAAATATAATACCCAACCATGTTTTATAACTGTGGGTATTTTATTCTACTTATCACTTCTTACATATAATAGACTTGTTCACATTTTATGAACAGGGGTATTTCATTCCAGTGATTACATCACAAAGTAAATAACCAGAAATTATAGTTACCCGCAAAAGAGACATAAGATCTTATAAAGTCAGGGTAATTAGAGTAAGGTGTTAGGGTAATACAGCATTTTTTAACACAGCTCATGAAAACACTAGAGTGATTTAATTTACACAAGAAGCATTTGGTGATATGCTTTGCTCCATTCTATGCTTCATATAGGAATGCCACATATTCTGTTTCTACCACAGTATGTGGTTTTCATGACTCAAGAAGAAAGCTCGTCTAAGATGCCTTACTGACAACTCCATCGCTGACTCACTATGTGACTTGAGGCAAATCATTAGTTGTTCTAGAATTTATTACCTCTGCTTCATGCATCGTATGAATATGATTTCTGTACCTTCTAAGTGTATAGTGAGAGAAACAGGAAGACATAGATGTAAGTGGCTGTAATTCCATGGTCTTTGTCAGGACTATAAAAATTTATACCAGCTGAGGTTGAACTGTGTTACACTCTGAAAGCAGTTTGTGGTTTCACTACAATCAGAATGAAAAGGAGAGGGGAGTAGCAGAATCCCTTAAATTTCTTTTTGACTGGGTTTAGAGCTTTGCTGCAAAATCTGAAAATGGTTTGGCATTCAAAAACAAGAGATTGATTTAATTTATTTACCTCATGCTAGATAAAAATAGTCACAATCAAAATTTTTTTTAAAAAAAGTAAAAGTATTTTACAAATATCCTGTTTTTCAAATAACACCAGGAAAAAAAAACCTTGCAATATTCTCAAATGCATGCAGTGTAGAACCTGTAGCAAATCTTTGTGAATGTTTAGGGAAGTTATACAAGATCTATTTTGCAGCACACATAAAGTACATACTTTGGAACCTCTGTATTAGAAATAGTGGACTGTGTGCAGTAAGAGTATCAGTGGAGACTGGATATATGTCTAGAGATGAGGTTAATTAGAAGCAAACTTTCAAGGCTTCCATCACAGAGATTAAGTACTCATGGTCTAGTCTTCATGATTGCAGCCAGAAATTGTGTAACTACCTCCTAATCACAAAACTGACGCAAACAATTTAGCAGGCAAATGTAATGCAATAAATTAGAGCTGAACAATAAATAAAATGCAAATGAGTATTAACAGTCTCCATTTATAAGACCTGTGGGGCACATTATTTTAAATTCTTCTGAATGTTTCCTCACACTGCTGTTACAAGGTTGAGAATGTTCTTCAGCTGTGTTTGAAAAACAAGACCACTATGCATAGTCCTTTCATGGCCAAAGAATTACATACAAGTCTCCTGAGTTCCAGATTAACAAGGAAATTTGTTTGGTTTTAACTTTCTCTTTTGAATAGCTTTATTATACTTGCCTAATATATTTATTGTTATGAGTCATTTGTCTTTCATGAAAATTTCAAGCAGAGAAATATGTGTATTGCATATCTATTCAACCATGCTATTAAGTTAAAATATCAAGGCCCCCTCAGAAACAAAGGCAGTATTTCACCACAAAATACAGTAAGCAGTAGTGAAATAGTCAACATAAAATGAAAAGCATAATATGAGAATAAAGAGAAGGCAGTATTCATATTTAATACAGCTTCCATGAAGCTACCATCATACCACTCCAGCTCTCAACATCCTTGTGCTTTAGATTTTATTCATTAGAATATTGACGAAGAAAGATGTTAAGGCTTTCTCTATAAATCTTAGATAGAATTCTTTACAATAATAGCTCTGGGCTTTAATGTATTCAGCATGTAAGTGTTAAGTAGAGTATTAGATGATTTTTACTCAGGTGTCATTAGGGACATGACTAGAATGGCTTCCACTTTAAAACATCACTTTCATTTTTGTACTTCAATTCATGTAGGATTCCATTATTAACTTGGTAATATGATGGACTGTTGTATAAGAATGCATTGGGCTGCTTTTTCATCTATGTTGAAATGAAAATGCTTTTCAGTGTTCAAGCTAAACAGTTGCTGGGCTTGTGTATGGCATGTGAAAATAAAAATAAGTGCTGCTTTAAATACTGATATCAATGATGATACTACTTCTACTAATAAAGATAATGTGTCTGTCAGTTTAACAGTGTTTCAGGACTGAGTCAGTCATTTTAAGATCTGAATTTCTGAATTTATTTTTTAGAGATTTAAGTAACAACAGAATCAGCACTCTTTCTAATCAGAGCTTCAGCAACATGACCCAGCTGCTCACCTTGTAAGTTAAAACATGTATCAGTGACTTTGAAAGCATTACAGTGGGGGTTTTTTGTCTTGGGAATGCTGGGCATTTAGTTGATATTAAAGCTTGCTTGTTTTGGAGGCTGTAAAATAACTCATTTTCTAATTAGCTATGTGTGCAAAAGCTGATTTTGGTCATGCTCTGCATTGTTTACTGAATGACTGATATACTTGGTGACAGTATTTTATATGTTTTCAGAATTCTTAGTTACAACCGCCTAAGATGTATCCCTGCACGGACTTTTGATGGGTTGAAATCACTTAGGTTGCTGTAAGTATTATTTTTAATCACTGCTATTTTACAGAATTTTTATTCGTGTACAGCAGATAGCAGATCTGTAGGAAGTTTGTAGCTTTTAAAACTTGTCAAATATTTGAAAAGTGATAAATACATAGCCTTAAAAATATAAGTGGCTTCATTCTTGGGAATTATAATCTCAAAATGCTTTACAATAAGTTCTGTGACCCTGGAGAACATTTTATATACAGACATACACTTTTTCTGCTTTTTGATGTTGGCTGTTTTCCTTTTTTTTTGTGTTATGTTCTTCCTCGTTATAATCACTAAGGTCTAGTACAAATGCCATATGCATATATACCCATATATCGGTATATATGGGAGGGGTTTGCAGTTGAATTTTGAATATTTTATTCCAGCACTAAATTTCCTTCTATCTTATTTCATTTAATGTGGGAGTATTTCCAAAACAATGGCATCATGGTTAACTATTGAAAAACAATAACATTGCTTTTTGGTTCCAAGAAAACTTTCCATTTTACCACTAAGAAAAACATGGTTGAAAGGCCATAGAAAGGGACAAAGGAAAATAAAGAACAGTCAGTCCAATTTACAGCTTCAGTTTGTCATTAAGAAAAAAGCCTGCTAAAAATCTTTTTCAAAAGTCCCCAGTAGAACATGTAATTTTAGCTTTCATTTGGGTAATTTATAACCATTTAAGAGCTTAGTTGGATTGATAATGGCCAGTCTTTGCGAACGAAGAACCGGGGAAGGTCTTTACACCTTCCAGCCTGCGCATTGGATTTTTTTAGGTGAGACACAGTGTGCGCGGAACTGAGCCCACCTTTTAATCCTGAGGTTCATCTGCCGGGGCCAAGCGAGCTTGGACGGTGGCAGCGAGGTCCTCAGGACGTAGATGGATTGCCTTACAGGGCTAACAAGCTCCATCTGCTTGGCGAGTGGCCCCAACCGGGAATCGAATCCGGGCCTCGGCAGTGACAGCGCCGCGTCCTTAACCACTAGACCACCAGGGCTCCCATTTAGTTGGATTAAATGTCTCAAGTATGGCATTATTTAAGTGTGCTCTCGTAACTTCAGTTATTTAATATAAATATGGATAATTTCAAGAGCCATAATTTTATATGTGTTAGATATTTGTGTAACTGAATGAATTTGTAGAAAAGGAGTGATATTTTTGTGCAGGTTTGCTACAGGAGAGATAACATTATTCCCAGTACTGATGCTTAATGAAGTCTTTCATTCTCTACCTCTGCTATCAAACTAGGACAACAGCCTTAATACTTATAGTAATGAACAGTCAATACCTGTATTTTCCACAAATCCATGAAAGATTTAAAAGAACATATGAACGTAATTAATGAGAATTTCAGGGAGTTGCAGAAAAAGAATTAATAACTCTTCTGCTATCTCTAAATCCAATCAGTACTTTGCAAAAGTATTCCTACTTTGTTAACTTCTATTTGTTAATTTTAAAATAATCACAGTATTTACATTTCTTATGAAAACTCAGGATGCAAAAAATCAAATTACAAGTAGGCTGCCATTTAGAGCTTCAAAAAAACCCCAAACAGCTGGAAACACCAAGGAACTGGAATTGGATGAAAAAAACCTGAAAAGCTGAAAACTGTTTACAGAAATGAAATTTGCCAAGTTTGTTTAATTTGCCAATTTGTTTAATGAAATTTGCCAAGTTAGCCAGTTGATTTTTATGCGTATATATTATTGTATTTATTTTTTTTTAAGGTCTTTACATGGCAATGATATTTCTGTTGTTCCTGAAGGAGCCTTTAATGATCTTTCAGCATTATCACACCTGTGAGTATTCAGATGTTAAGTGTATCTTTTGTTACGTTTAGCAAATTTCCTGTAATAAAGACAGATCGCAAAGGATTTCTCTGGAAGAAGCTTAAGCATCTCTAGAGGCAGGGGACTAGCCAGAGAAAAATCCTGGGCCTCCTTCTGGGCTGCAAATTGAACTTTTGTGCCATGTGCCCTAATGGCAGCGAAGGCTAAGGACACCCTGGGCTGAATTAGAAAGTGAGCAATCAGGGAACTGATCACTCCCTTCTGCTTGGCCCTCCTAAGGCCACATCTGGAATATGTGTTCAGTTTCTCCAGCACAAAGCAGCGTGGGACGAGCAGTGTGAGCTGTGAGGAGAGTCTACAGGAGCTGGGCTTATCTAGCCTGGAGAAGGAGATGCCAAGGAGCTATCTAAATCTTTAAGCCTTTGAGAATTACAGCAATGTTGGAGACAGTTTTTTTCTCTGACTTGCACAGTGAAGAATAAGAGTAAACCATCACAACCTGCAATAAGGAAAATTTGATTGAACGTATTGAAAAATTCTTCACTGTGAGGATGGTTCAGCTTTGGAACAGGTTTCTCAAAGAAGCAGGAGAATCTCCATCCCTAGAGATTTTCACTGCTCAGCTGGACACAGCCCTGAGCAACCCTGACTGAAAGTAGCCCTGCTTTGTGCAGGAGGTGAGACTAGGTGACTTCCAGAATGCCCTAAATTATTCTGTGATTCTGTGTTGGTGTCTGTTAAGTTGACATTAAACACATGACATCTGATTTCAAAATATAGTTGGAGTCAATGCTTTTCCAGTTTTTAATTTTCACTGGGAACCTAGATTAGAACAAACTGCCTTCTGCAAATCTTGTTGTGTTTATGAGGAATAAGTTGACTAGTACCTTTAGATGTATCTGGGATTTTAAGTTTCTGAACAGCTGCAGTTATTAAAAATCTAGTTATCTATTTGTGATTCACTGTTGGACATTACTCAGAAATTTGATACTGATTAAGCTTTCAGTTGTTGATAATTCATTGAAATGCTACTATTCAACTAGCTTATCTGCATGAAGTAACAGTAAAATTTACATCAGTTTGATTGGTATTGCTGGTATTTTCTTCTTAATGGCTGCTAACATTCTGATTTTAGCAGGGCAATTGTGTTATCTCAGTTCAGGCTACTGTTGACTCCGGTATATATGGACTGGAAAAATTGTAGGTTTCTTCTTGCATGGGAAGTTCCCTGTCACTAAGTCTTATTTTTGTTACTGCTCTGACTTATGCCTGACTGAACAAATATGTATATAATCTTGAGTTCAGCTATAATGTAGCAAAATTATGAGAGGCCTTCCTGCTCAGTGGGGCAGAAGAGAGTGTTTTGGCACTGGTAGTTTCTATTGGCTTTACTTGCCACAGACTTTCTTGTAGCTCTAGAAGACCCACTGATCCAAAGCTGTGGCCAAATCAAAAAAAAAGTACTAAAACATCTGGAGAAGGAGAACTTTCTAATACTGCCATTTGACAGCGTTTGCACATGTCGATATTATCTGTTCAAGATTATTGTATTTCTTAAAAGGAACATAAGTACATCTTTATAGAACAGCACAATGCTTCTGTCCTCCAAATTAACTGCACAATGTCTCATTGTTCTCAGAGTTTTAAGAGTATTTATAGTTTCTAGCAGAGAAAATGAACACTTAAAAAGCTCTTACAGAAATTAATTCTGAAAATCTCCAGATAAATTTTATTTCATTAAAAAAAATTAGAAAGATCATAATTTAAAGAAATGGATATACTTTCATAAATGAGGTAATTCTTATGGAACTAGCACAAGTAGTTTATTTACTTGTGCAGCAGAGAACTCTTACAGAATTCTGCATATAGTTGTGAGTTCAGTGGGAGAGCTCCAAAGAGGAAATAATTAAATCAAATTTGGAAGCTTAGAAACAGATGGTTTGTACCAGCCTGGGAGCCATAAACTGAAAAGGAAAAATATCAGGGCGCAACTCTTTGGACTTGCCTTGGCTGCTTCAAAAGAAATGCTTTATTCTTGCTAACTTAATTTCCCAGTATCAGTTTCATTTTGTTCCTGCAGCTGATCTTTGCCATTACATACCAGTGGTGAAACACAAGCTCACCAAAGTTCACACCTAATGCACTTAAGAGTAGTGAGGTTTCTGGATCAAGTTTACTGATAGAACTATCACTTCTTGATCCAGAACCCAAATCCAGACACTTACTGCTCTTACAGGCATTTTAGTGGTGGGAGAGTAGGTTTGTAATTTGAACGGTTTTTTACCCACCTGTTTTCTGGATTTTCTTTTAAAAAGTAACCATTTAAAACTCGATTTCCTTTTTCATTTGTCTATTTTCCGTAGGGCTATTGGAGCAAATCCTCTTTATTGTGATTGCAACATGCAGTGGCTGTCTGACTGGGTAAAATCAGAATACAAAGAACCTGGTATTGCACGTTGTGCTGGTCCTGGAGAAATGGCAGATAAACTTCTTCTCACAACTCCTTCTAAGAAATTTACTTGCCAAGGTACTGTTGCTATTTTTTTCTCTTTGAAGGGTCGATTTTGAATTTTTACAAATGGTTGATCTGTGAATTAAGACTGTTGTGTGCTCTAAACACATTTATTATAGCATCTTCACTAAACCTTGTCTTCATTGCTCCTCCATTCTTAGGGTTGTGGCCATTGGTTCCATTCAGAAACTGCATTTATTTTAAAGATTTCATTGCCTATATCTTTTAAAACAGATGGAGAAAAAAAGTCTTTGGATTTGCAGTACAGTATTTCTCAGTATATGGTGTACAATGTACTTTGTTCTGCCTCAGTCATGAACTACAGTTTAAACATCTACACTTCCCTTGGCCTTTTTCCTTCCAACCATTTACAGTAAAAACTGTAAATACATCTGTACTCCTTGCAGTCTGAAATTAAATGCATCAGTATTTCCAGAATGCTTCCTCTTATATTTCAGAAGAAAACATCTTAAAAAAAAAAAAAAAGACAACAAGAAAAAAATAAATAAAGGAATGTGATAATTTCTATAAAAGCCTCATTCTAAAATGTTGTTAAATGAGACAAGTTTCTCAGGATGTGTATGCCCATGTTGGTGCCAGTGTTGTTGGCATTTATATCACAACTCATATTAATGTCAATTCTTAGATTCTTTTTCTGAACGGTACTATTTCTTTTTATAAAAGTACCTTTTTTACTTACATCGAGTGAGAACTTGGTTTGTGTACTATTTAATCTTTTTCTGTTCCATTCATTTCTCCATTCTTAACTATTTTGAAAACACTCAAAACTGCTGCTGCAGCCTCGTTTTTCATGGTCCTTATTTGGAAATATTGAAACCCCAATTAAAAAAAAAAATTGTCAGCCGTTACTAAGCTCATAGGCATTGGATAAATATATGGATAAATACGATCTTTAATCTTGTATTAACTTATTCTCAGTGTCTCAGGTAATCTTCAGGCTGTTTTGATTTATTCATCTGTTAGCGTATCTTCAAATGTGAGCTTAAACCCCTTGTGATTTTGATCTTAAAAAAGCAGTGAGACTTTGTCAGATTATGTCTCCTTTAAAGTTGTTCTTTAC